ACATTTGGGATACCTTGAGGAACATTGGCTCTACTTTGCCATGCCGATGAGGTATCTGCCATCTCATCCAAAATTTCACATGCTTCGGCATAAGGCGTGTTTATGAAGTTTCTATCGGCGAGTTGGTTAACCACACATTGATTTGTTATTTTGATCCCCCTATAGAAGGTTTGTTGGATCATGGCCTCGGTCATATCATTGCTCAGGAACTCTTTAACCATGGTACAATATCTTTCCCAAATATCGTGCAATGGCTCATTGGGTTCTTGCTTGAATGCAAGAATCTTATCCCGAAGTGTTGCTATATTCCCTGGAGAGAAGAATTTGGCAATAAATTTTTATTCCAACTCATCCCATGTATGGATGGAATGATTGGTCAATCTCTCTAACCAGTCCAATGCCTTTCCCCGTAGAGAAAAGGGAAATAGCCTCAACCGTAGCGCGTCCTCGGAGACATTGGTTTACTTGCTCCCACAACAAGTATAGACGAACCCTTTGAGATGCTTGTAAGCATTTTGACTCGGAGCCTCGGTGAAAAATCCACGGTGCTCAAGTAGTCTAAGGAGTACATTGGTGATTTAGAAGTTTCCCGTCCTAATGCGGGGCGGGACTATAGCACTTGCATAACCCTCATTTGGCAATACCCGGTGACCTACCGCTCTTGGTGGAGGTGGTGGAGGGAGGAGAACATGATCATGAGGCTGTCAGCCTTGCCTATTTGCTTGAGGTTCAAGAGGAACCTCATCCATTTGGTCATCATCGATGTCCTCCTCCATTGGCAAATTTCCGATAGGCTCGTTGTTGAAAGCCATTCTCGTACCTAAAATCAATTCAAAAATAAAGTTAGTAACTCGGAAGGAAAAGAAGACAAATCATACAAAAACCTAGATACATAGCTAAATCCGTTTAACTCCCCGACAATGGCGTCAAAAATTGATGTCACTCAAACTCAACCACAAATATAGGTTATGAGGCAGTCAAAGCAATAATAAAAACCTAATGCAAGTCGGGGTCGAATCTACAGGGAGTTAGATTTTGGATTAGGTATACACCTAGTGAGATTGTATGATGGGCCCAAGATTTCACTTCCACATATTTGGTTGTTATTTCTACTTCTACTTTTAAGCTATTCAATGTAGTTATAAAGCTAAGAGACGATATATTTTTTTTGTTGTTTTTCAAGCTGATAAAAGGTCTAGGGCCGTGACTTCCACCTAGGTGGTTACCTAATAGGTTGTAAACTCCAGGGCAAGTTTGATTAGTTGGGGTTGTAATATAGAAATCACATGCAATTACCCACTCAATACCTCTCGGTAGTTAGAGTGATTTTGCCCAATTTGGCTTTCTCAAGTCCAAATAGGTATTGCCCAAAACAAGTGATAAATGATCAAGTCGGGTCTTACTATCTCTAGATTCAACCCTTTAATTGGGGCTATCAATTTCTTGAGTTCACCCTAATTCCTTGTTAGCCAAGTTTTTCTAGATTTAGTCTCTCTTTCTCTCAAGTAGAGACTAAGTCAATTAGGCATGAATCAATGTTTGTAACCATTAATTATTAATTTCAAGACAGAACTAGGCTAAATATCACTAACCTAATCACAAACAAGCCCTAAATCAAACACCCATTAAGTACTCACACTAGGGTTGGGTCACAACCCTAGCTAGAAATTTAGCTACTCATGAAAATGCAGAAATGAAAGAAGAAACTAAGATAGAATTCATAATAGATGATTAAGGGAAGATAATCTAATTTTAAAAGCTAATCTAGCACAATGTTACCCAATACAGTAAAGAAAAATGGCTCAGGTGCTCTCTCTATAAAAAACTTAACCTAAAAATGACAAAAAGTTCTATTTATACTAAGATAAAAATATCTGTAAAACTTGCCCCTACGGAGGTTGTGCGGCCGCAATTATGTGTCTGGTTCGCAAAATGAGACTTGGCTTGACAGGTTCCAGTTCTGCGGCCGCACAATTCTAGGTTGAGGCCGCACTCCTTCAACTTCTGCAGACCGCACATTTATGAGTGTGACCGCACTCCTGCTTCTGCGGCCGCACAATTATAGAGTTGTCCGCACTCCATGATCTTGGGCTTTAGTTGTGCTACACTTCTTCGGACCGCATAAAAATGAGTGCGGTCGCACTCTTGATTATGCAGGCGCACAAAAATGGTGCGGTCCATATTTCTTCTTGAACATAAAGTCCCATTTCTCTTATCTCTATCTTTTGCGGCTACATCAGAATTGTGCGGTCCGCACTTTGTGTAGCATTTCTTGTCAGGGTTTTCTTCAGGATCTGTGCCGCACTTAATATTGTGCGGTCCGCATTGTGCCATTTTTACCTCATTTTAGTCTTTGTCCAAAATTACTCCTTCTTGAGTTAATCTTCAACTCTTTAGCTCATATTTCAACACTCCTTCAAGTAAGCACATTTCATTAGTTTTCGGGAATACCTTTAAGAAATTTTGAGCTAAAATGAAAGTAAAAAAGTGAAAATAAGTAGTCAAAATCCCTACTTATCAAGGGTCCTACTAGATCTTTCCTATTGTCGTTTCTCCAGCCTTTCTGGACTCGGCTTGTACTGAAGTTAGCCGTTGGGTTGGCCCATTCAGATCGTCTTCATCGGCTCGAACTTCGGCGCAAATAGGCATTGGATATTTTGTCCCAAGTGGACATCGGGGGATATTTCATGAGGCGACTTAGCAGCTTTCTGGTCGCCCTCTCATCGGTTCTATTCAGCCCGTTTTGAAAGGCTTCCACGGACATTCCTTCTGATACGTTTGGTAAGGTCTTCCTTACTCGGTTAAATCGAGCAAGGAATCCCTTAGTCCCTCTCCGGATGATTTTTTGATGGCAAATATGTAATTTACTCTTGCCTATGCCTTTTTTGCTCTGGCATAAGCTGTTATGAACTTGTTGGCCATTTCCTCGAATGTTTCAATCGAGCGTGCGGGCAGCTGCGAATACCAAGTCAACGCACCCCCGGTGAGGTTTTCGCTGAACTTCTTCAGTAAGATGGAGGATACTTGCTCTTTGGCGAGGTCATTGCCTTTTACTGTGGTGACGTAATAAGTCACATGATTTTCAGGGTCCATTGTGTCATCATAAATTTTCAGGTACGATGGTATTTTGAAGGTTTTGGGTATTGCGTATGGCGCAACTTCGTCGCTGTGGCTGCTCAACAAACCGACCGATGTCCCTTTTCGGTAGGAGTTTTAGGGCTCCTGGTATTTTGTCTACCCTTTCTTGATGCTCTTTCATTTGGTCGCAGAGCATTTTGTTCTCGTTCTCCATCTCCTCTATTTTTCCCAGAATGGTTGTGAGGGTTTCGTTACCTGCATCACTAACATTGTGAGTAATACCTGTTACAAGGGGGCGTGTTGCTCGCCTGTCGCTGACGCAACTCTTGCATCTTCTCTGTTCGGCCTTTGAGCGGGCTTGTCAAGAATGTTGGCCAACATGTTTGTCAACCACGCCTCGAGTAGTCTTTTTACTGCTGGTGGTGCCTCTTCCGTTGTGGATGTAGAGGCCCCTTTACCGTGTGAGGTCGTGATGCTGCCATGAGGAAAGGGCGAGCTGTTTCGCCGGGGAGACGTATTTTATATTATGTCCTCACCCTCTATTTCATCGACTTTGTTGATGGTGTGGAGGAGATTAGCAATGAGGTCAGTTATTGCTTTCCTCTTTTCCTTTCCATTACCTGCCATGTTAGCTTTGTGTACACAAGGAAGTGTCGTGTGTTTTGTTTTGTTATAGATCTAGAGAAAACTAAAATTTTAACTAGAAAATTCCCACAGACGACGCCAAATTGTTTAACCAAAAAGTATGAAACTCTTTGTTAAACTAATTAAGTAAAAGGATAAGGTATTAATCCTAGTTAAAAATAATATCCCTATATCTAAAATCAGTTTATATGGATAATGTGGGGCCACGTTGAAGCAGATTTAGTGTGATATATAATAAATATTGATGTTATTAATGCAGTGAGAGCAAATAATAAATAACCATAAAGGGCACTAAATGTAAATAAGGAGGAAGATTCACCCAATAATAAAAGAGGTGAATGATTCCTTCTTCTGACAATGATGAATGACAAAAATATGAGAGAATATTATACACTTTCTCGGATCTGGTGGAAATGACAATGGACTGAATGTAAGGATCGAATCTCTCTCAGAAAATTGTTCTTTGTATTTATCTAGAGAGTTTACTTTTCAAAAGTGTTCTTATTAAATTGAATATCACATGCCTTTTGCCTTATCTCTCCTACTATTTATATGGGATACTCCTGAAAAAACTATAAAAGGTTTAAAAGAAGGAATATTCAATAGAATATTTCATTGGTTAGTTCCAAAGTTGTACTAGTCGTTACTTCTGTCCCTTGCTGCTCGACCTCGGCCCTGATGAGCTACTCAACGGCTTGTTCTGTTCACCACTAACCAACCTCGGCCAAACTGTCCATGATAAGTTACAATTCTCACGGTAATCACCTCCTCGTGCTGAATCTCCTCGGTCGAATTTTGACCCATACATATATTCCATGCAAATTAAGATATCATGTTATTTGCACCATATTTAATTAGTTTCCCGGACATATATATGGTATAAAAATATCTCATATTATTATTTACTAGTACTTCCTTGATAAGGATTTGAATTATATATGTTAATTTAACGTTTTTACACTATTAATATAGTTTAAGTTGCGATAACATATTATTTATTATTTATTTTTATTAGGACCCATTAATTCTTATCATAAACATTGAATTTAACTTATTTATATTGACTATACTATCAAATAATTTAATTTATTGTAGCTGGTTGTCTTCGATCACTTCTTTTTCTTTTTTCAGGCTACTAATTTCACTTATTATGACATTTATCTATAGTTGCCTCTAAGTGATGGTGTAGTTAAAAAATTAGAGTGTATATAAGTTAAACTTATATAGGGTAAAAGACTGAAGTTTTGTCAATATACTCCTGTTTTGGGGGTTTGTAGTGTAAGACTTGAAAAGGGAACAGTCACGTCTTTGATTGAAGAAAAGGGAAGTGTGAAAGGAGTAAATTACAAGACAAAAGATGGACGAGAGCTAACTGCTTATGCTCCTCTTACAATTGTTTGCGATGGTTGCTTCTCAAATTTGCGACGCTCCTTATGCAATCCCAAGGTAAATTATTTCTATTTAATTAATTATGTTTTTCCAGCTTGTTAAGTTTAAGTTAAATATATAGTAAATTTTACATCATCAGATCGTTCTTATTTATTGTAGCAGGTATCTATCTTATTTTAAAGATTACTGTTTACCCTTTAAATTGAATAACAATTAAACTTATAATGTGATTTTAAGGATATGTGATTTCACCCAATATCAATTGATAAACGTGATTAGTAATGTAAATTGACAATTAAATAAAGCAAACCAGTGTTTAAACAGAATTCAGCCCTCGAGCTTGAATACCCTCGAGCTAGTTTGTACAAGAACAGTTAAAATGTAACACACTAATGAATAAGAGAGTGTAAACTAAAGAGAGAACATTGTATTGCTTTGATCTGCGTGAATGTGAAGTGTCTACAAATTATGAAGACTCCTCTTTATATAGTAGAGGGATCCTAATTATGGTATAACTATAATTACAAAAGAAAATCACATGATTAGATAATTAACCGCCTTTGATTTGATCCATTCCGAGATCCCCGCCGTGATCTTCGACCAGTCACGGATATCTTGCTTTCCCGTTATTGTGCTTCGCTCGGAGTCTACCCTATTTGATCTCGATCATTGCCGGCTTTGACCTCGGCAGGTACTTCGATTCTCGAACACAGTACCTTGCCTTCGTCACTTTGATCCGCTCCACTTCGAGGCTAACCCTCGAAGCAATTCCCTGATTTCGATTAAATAGTAAAATTGGGTAGGCCCGATTTTAACAGTATACAGATAGTCCCCTCATTTCTTGGAGTGTAATGAGAAGAAACGAATTGAGCCTTCGATTTTATACCTCGACCAGTTATGACGTCACCCTCGTGACATAAGCGACGAAAGCGACTGAAGTGTCCCGTCGGTACAGTTTCCTAGATCATTAATGAGCATTAGTTGGCGGTCGGCCACCAATGTATGCAAACCGTTGTAGCGAATAGTATAAATAGGTCTTCCTCATAATTTCTCAAACTCTACTTTCAAACTTCTCTTAATCTTCAAAGCGCTCTACTTCTTCCAAGTTTTTCAGTTCTGCAAATCCTTCAAATCCCGTTGTCAACCTTCTCTAAAAACAACAAATCTTATCTTCTTCTTTCTCTAAACCATATAAAATGGCAAAAAGGAAAAAGCTTCTTCATCATGGCCGGCCAGTGATAAAATGCCGGTGGAGCCACGCCTTGAGGAGTGCGTTCCTGGGGGTGTGATCTTATTTCCGACTTCAAAGTCGAGAAAACTTCGTCGGTCCCTGGCCAATGTGAGCCAATGTTGAGATATATATGCTCGATAACTGAGGGCGACTTCGAGCAGGTGAAGAAAGATTGCCATTGGGACGATAAAGAGGTGGTGATTCCGACTCTCGAAGAAGACATCACTACTCATGTGAAAGGGTTTCTAAATGTTTACAATTACCCTTTCATGCTGCCCTGTCGATCCCGTCATCATCGACCTTTTCTGTTAATACCAAATAACCCTAGGTCGGATCCATCCCTCTTTTTGGCGGATCATCATTCTGCTCCGATTCTTCGAGAGCAAGGTCGAAGAGATGCCTTTCACCCTCAACCATCTCATCAGAATGTACAGCCATCGTCTCTATTGAGGCGGGTTGATAAAGCTTCAACGTTGGGCTACCAAGGTGCTGTTCTCGAGCATAGAAAAGGACAAGGATCAAGGATGGATGGGCCGGTTCATTCGAGTGATGACATCTGACATAATTTCAGCCGAGAAGATTCCATTCCCCGAAGAATGGAACATGAAGCATAAGTACAAAACCACCTATAGCTTCTATTTATTGTTTTGTTTCTTTTGCCTTTTCTTATCGACATCCTATGATGTAGTGGCTTCTTAGGTGCCAGGTGCAATTCCGAACCTCGAGAGTTGGGTTTGCAAACTAGCTTTAACCTCTTCTTATGCTGAGCGCTCATGGAGCAATTTGGCAAAGGGTCGATGGGAGGCCAAAAATCATGGTAATCTTCTTTACACGCATTTGATGCTCTTCTCTGAAATGTTTCTTTTCATATTTACTTGGTTTCCTTTCATACAAGTCTCGTAGACATTTCTGTCATGAGGCCTCCGTTTGGGGAGAAGGAGGTACCAAAGCCGGCGAAGGATAAGAAGAGGAAAAGGGTCTCGACCATCGAAACTCCAAAGCCTAAGAAGAGCGGCTTGTAAGTCGAAGAACGACACTGTCGTCCTGCCTGTGGATGTAGTTTAGTGACTAAGAGATGAAGAAGAGGAAAATAAAGATGATGGCTTCGAGCTGGTGCCCGAACAAAGAGGAGCACCGAAGCCCCGAGGGCCGCTGAACCGGCGATGGTCAAAAAGACCCTGCCTCGAACTGAAGAGATATCAAAAGAGGGACCAAGCAAAATCCCCGAGTCGCTGGAGGCTGAAGATGCCTCTCACCGAAATGAGCAATCGGTGGGCGTGCCTGAAGGGTCTGGCTCCGAGGCCCTTCAAGATAAAGGGAATGCCCCAAGTGACTTGCATACAAACTGACGATACACCGATGTCGCACCCCCTTTTTCTCGCGAAATCAGGGTTTTTGACATTTTGGTTGGGATAACTCGTTCCTTTTGGGAAAGGGGTTTGCATTTTTGAAGAGTCTCTACCTAACGATTTAAGGTGAGTTAGGGCACGTATAGGGTTCGTTTATAACTACGTTTGGTAACCAGAGACAGGGTAAGGGCTTGAAATTATCCTAAGGGGAAGGTGTGAGGCACCCCTCAGGATCCACTAGTGTGGTTCCCGGCCAAACAGCTTTTGTGAATTTGTACAACTAGCAAATAAACAAGTGTGGCTCAAATAGTAGGGGATTTAAGTTAAAATGCATAAGTGTTTGAAAAACAATTAATGAAAAGCAAGATTTTTAAAAAAGAATTACAATCTAAGCATAGTTGTGAATGTAAAGGGGGTATCCTAGGTTTGTTTATAATATGGATCACATCAATGCAATACCCGGTATGACACTCCTCAAAGAGGAGCTATACGTGGTATTGATGCACCGGTCATCATATCCATATCTACCCTTTCCCACCCCGTGAAGGTAATTAAAGCGAGAGTTGGTCTCGACCCCTATTGCATGCTGTTACCCGTCTTTTCCTATAATCCTGGAGGAGTTTAGGATTTCTATCCTATGAGGGAGGTTCTAGGCAGACCCTCAGGTTTAAAGGCAAAATACTAGGCGACAAATAAGAATACATAGGACTGCATTTAGGGGGTAACATAGAAAACGGATAGAAGGCTTAGATATACCTCCACAAGTAATGCACATAGACAGCACGACTCATACACAGATAAGGTCCACATTTGAACTCAGAATCCTAAAGCATGGTATCTAAGTGATTTTAAAACATAACAGAGGCAAGTTTGATTTGTAATTCAGAAAAGGGGTCCTAATAAGTTTTGCCTACTGATTTTAAACCAGTTGATAATTAAGCAGCATACATAAAGAAGCATGTTTCCAGCTATCAGGGTTACATGGAGAAGACTGTTTGAATTTATTACTAAACATGTTGTTCTAAATGTTCAGAATTCTGGAATTATTACTAGCTGGGTTAATCTATCAATAATTAAACTAGAGACGCCTAAGCGGATGTGAATGCAATTATACAGACATGATATCTAGTGCACAAAAATGCAGAGTGATGTATATGCAGGACCCGAGCAGGATTTTTTCTAAATGCATAAGTGTTGCATACTTTCAGAATATGTAGAAGATATGGAAATAACCTGTTTATTACCGTTGTTTTTATCCTAAGGTAGGATCTCTAAGTGTGCATGGCAGTGCATAACATAATGGTAAAGTGCTAGTTAGTAGCGGATTTTAATACATGATTTTATAAGGATGCACATGCTGAAACAATAAACATGGGACCTAAGAGAATGATTTCTAATGCAAGTATGAATCCTAAGCATGGTTTCTATTGTGCAATTAGGAATATAAACCTAATAACATGTTTTCTACCCTTAACAACTATAGCATGCATATTTACCCCATCCATTTTCACTATCCATCCCCAGAGAGTTTTTACAATACTTATTACAAACCGTTTGCAAAAATCACATAATTGAAATAATAAAAGAAGAAGTTATACTATAGGGAGCCTACGGATAGGCCCAGACTCTCCAGAATGCCTCAAATGCCATTGGTTCACAGCCTTTCACATGATCCAAGTGTGTCAGAGTTCCCTAAGGATCTCAAGGGAACCTGGGCAGTGCTCACACCCGAATTCATAACCAAATTGTGTAAGTGCAGTGTGGAAGAGCCAGCCTTAATGTGTCAGAGTTCATAGGGAGCTCATAAGGGTCCCTAAGCAGTCACACATTAAGGGGTAGAACCTAGACTTCTAAGAGTATATGTGAGAGTTCTTGACATAGGTTTAAAAGAGTTGAGTTGGAAACAATTTTGACAATGATTATTTTGAAATAAGTTTTGGAAAGCAATAGAAGAGTTTGCCTTAGTGAAAACCAGTTTGAAGAAGAAAAGAAACAAGACAATCAGCAACCTCAAAACCAAATCAATATACATAGTTCAAACACAAACAGGGAAAGGAGGAATTGGGGACAAGTAGCTCATGTGTGAAAGCATATTTGCACACAGGTTAACACTAGAGAAGTACTACAGAACTTAAATAGTCATAGCAATAGTCTATCACAAAGTGTTCGTGCCCGGATTTTAACCGCATTAGATTAAGGGGTGCCAAATAGAGTTACACATTAGGTTTAGGGGAAAGGATTCAGGATCACATAGTAACTTGGTGCCACGAACACATGCTTATAATGTATTGGGGGTTAGGGGGTAGGGCAGAATAGTAGTAGAAAATGTAAGAAAGCAGTAGATATGTTGAATTACAGGGAAGGATAATCACATGGCAAAATAGGCATGCTAATTGCAAAGGAGACATCAGAACCATAAGTAGAAGCATAAAAGAAATAAAAGGAAGTGCAATACAAATAGAGACATATTGTTTTGG